TCCAGTTTTTAGAATTACTTAGTCGAAAGGTTTGAACCTTTAACTAACTCAATGTAAATTATTAGTTCTATTCGCATAAGTGAATTAGTTGAAAAATTGTTTAAATAAATAGGAAATTCATTATCAAATATAAGAAAGAATTTCTAGAATGTTTGTCTAATGGATAATTACATAGAAAGATGGTAGCTTTATACCAGATTTTTTTACTACGTTGAAAGAAGTCGACAAAAGACTTCTGGCTACATTTATACTGTATTTTGAAAAATGTTCACGTAAGATTGGATTTCGAGAGCAAAGATTTCACTACGATTGAGCCCTTCTTAATAGTTAACGTGGGCACCGAACTTTGAAGATTAAAACATATTCAGAGAAATAACAAACGCAAAATGAAGTTAGTTAAAGAAACGATAGCATGGCATGGAAAGCTCAAATAACGTGAAGAAAGTCAGATATAGAATGACCGAAATGCTAACCAAAAACTCATATTACTGAATATTTTGGCTAACAGAGGTGGTAATGATGATGGCGCGGACGCTCATTGTCTAAATGGAATTCTCACGTTTCTTTTTATGAGTCTTACAAGATGATCTATGGGATCGTGGAAGAGAATGGACCTTTCAGACAAACAGTGGTCGAGTACCAAATAGCCGGACTCAGACTTCTTCTTTTCTCGGTTCTACTATTGCCAAGTCTCGGTTGCTTTGGCTTATTTACCCAGTCGCTACCCGTGGTAAGAAATAAAAACACATGAACAACGCGGCAGCGAGTTATAGTGCTGTAGTAAGCAAATTCATCTCAAAAACCATTTTTCGTCTTTCTGGTATATATTCCGTATAGTATGTCTTTATAGTACATATTATATATGGACTTTATATTATAATAAAAGAATTTTATCATTTTATTTTATTATAATAATATTATATATTATAAATTTTATTATCAGTACCACAAACATTGTTTTATTTCTATACATTTAATCCTGCTCCCACATTTATCCTTAAACAATCAATTAGTGTAATAACTAACTTCTTTATTATGTATTCATTTTATAACTTTGATTGATTCATTTTATTTAATTTGAATAAAAATAAAGATTCAATTTTTATTAGTTCCTCAGAATTTTCGTAAAGATAGAATCCAAATTTTATTATCATGGCTATATCTATAGAATTTATTTTATGAAAAATCAATAAATTATTTTCATTTACAAACAAACGTTATTACACACTCGATGCTTTATTGTGAGGATGTACCATCAAGTTTGTGACTGTGTTGTTTTATTCTACTCTTTGTTATAACATTGATTATGCATAAATACTTTTTATGATCCTATATTATTATTTATTATTTATTTGATATACTATTTATAAATCACTTACTTTATTTATGTTTATTTTTACTTTAAACTATGAAAATCTCAATTGGACGTCTACCTTATATTATTAATTAATTAAAATGGTTAGAACAATAGAAATATTAATGAAATATTATAAATAGATATAATACTCCTCCCTACATATAATATAATTAAATTAAAGAAATTTAAGACTATATTAATGCATTGTGTAAATATGAATAAAAGATAGCAGAAAAATTTAGAGTTTATACTAAAGAAATTTACAAATATCAATGGTGTAGAAATTTCACCTTTTTAGTAATTTTATAACAACGACAGCCTTAGAGGTACCTACTAAACCGAGAAACGTCGATATTGTCATGTCACACTGTTTTCTCCTGTTTCCACAGATTTCTCGGTGTGTTGCACGCAATCACATCCTCATGCATTTGTGAGTTCTTCGTATAGTATTAGTATAGGGCTTGTTTAGTCCAGGAATTCTAAGATTTGAAGGCGGCGAGCGTGACTAAAGTATTACACTTGTTGCACAAAACCAAGCACTAAATTTCTATTGGCTGTCTCGCTGGTTAGTTGGACCGACCCCCCGTTTTGCCATCATGCCCTAACCTAACCTAACAGCAAAGCAGAATCTAACAGTTGAACGAAAACCTCATATAGTCCGGCATTTACATTAACCAATAAGCACAGCCTCTCTTTCTTCTTCTTTCTCTTTATTTGTGTTCAGTTCACTCAAAAATTCCACTTATTCTCAATATCCTCATTTTTCACTCTACTTTGACCATGCTTGTCTAAGCTTTGACCTTTTTTCGGATGGGGCATAACGTTAAAATTGAAGGAATCCCTCAGCGGGCTGCTAGTTTCTATGCACTTTTGTCATCAAAATGAAAGAACATCATAAACATTTTTTTCATGCAGTTTTCAAATACCACCTAAACATATATTATATTGGATGAACTTACTTTTTCAATTTCCAAACCTTGAATGTTACTTTTTCTTCTACGTATTGCGCTAGTGCTATTTAGATTCCTTATTCCAAAAGTTGCTTAACTTTTTCTTCAATTTCGGTTGATCATCCTGTCGCACACACTTTATTAAAATTGCAAACACTTTAATAACTCTTATATACGATATTTTCATCGTATCTACTACTTTAGTTATGTTTATCATTATTTGACAGAAATACTTTATCCGTTTTTATATTTTAAATAGAATAATTTTGATCATTAATAAGAAAGGTGATACAAAATTTTATGGATAAAATTTAGCTATTTAAAACATTAATTAAATAAGAATAAGTCAAATAAAAAAATATTCTATAAATTTTATGTAAATTTGTTTAAAGAAAATATTTTCTAATTTTCTGTTAATGTTTAACGTCAAATAGCTGATATAACAACATATTATTCGTGAAATATAACATTACTTACAAAAATGATCATTTTTAATTCTTGTTTTCAAATATTACTTTTAACCCTAAATCAAATTGAAAAAATTATTTTATTTCGTGAAATCATAAATTTAAATAGGATATACTTTTGCTACTGTCTATAACATTTTATTGTTTGGAACTAATTTTGACAATTTGTTTTTATTTTATGTAAAAAAAAATAAAAAATTTATATTGAAAAAAGTAATATAAATAGATAAATACATAATTGAATTGGTCGATAAATAAATGGATAGGTAGATAGATGATAGATGCAGAGAAAGGGGGAGGATTTATTATACATCCAAGTAAAACACCTAATTATTGAAGTTTCTATTTTATCTCTTTCTCTTTTTTGTTCAATGTTGACTTCTTTATTAGAAATAGGAGGTAGATTAATATATTTAATGCCAATATACAAAAAAAAACTTATAAATCATCGTAACATCATAATTATAATAATTTACGAATGGAAAACTATATACATAGAAAGTTTATACTAATAGAATTAATAGTTGACGCTCTTTTCATTTTTCTTTATCTTTTTACGATTAAATTATTATTATACATATTACAGTTTTAAATTTAATACATATAATTTTTATGATCGTGTCCTTATTCAATTAAACTAAAAATTTGATTATCTTACAAATTTTTTGGAGATGTCCATAATTTTTAAATTATATTGGTTACTTATATTAATTGATGCAAATATCTTGATTTAGGCATGTATCAATGTAATAGCACCGTATATAAAAAAATAAATATGATACAAGGTTTCATGTGTTCACATACGGTAATTAATACTGTAATAATTATATTCCAGTTTATTTTCAATTTGTTAAACTGGATATTTTAGCTTCTTTCTGCAGATAAATAGTTTTATATAAAAGAGCACACTTTTTATAAAATAACTTGTAAAAAACACGTTTTTTCTATATTCTTTCATTTAATGGTAGTTTAACATGTATTCAATTTAACCTTCATTTCTTACAATAATTTGATTCTACAATTTATTTTACACATGTTTTCTTTTCAAAAGACTAATAATAAAATTAATTTAAAATACTGCTTAAAAATACACATTAATAAATTAAATATAATTTTCGATATTAAAATGATTAAACATAAATACAAAAATTCTTTGCAAAAAATGAATGAATTACAAGTTCAAAAGTAAAAGGCACTTTCTCTCTCTCTCTCTCTCTCTCTCTCTCTCTCTCTCTCTGGGTATATGAACCGAAATATGAAGAATTTGGTCACAGAAATAATAAAATTAATGTTAAGACCTAGATGTGCAATATAATCAGACGTATGCTTCAGAATATACATATATGCAGTTTGCAACAAGAGTATCATTTTTATGTACGACTTTTAGTGATGTATAATATCAACGTAGTTTCTGTCTATCCTGTAAATACTATATTACATATTAAGCTTTTATAAGTAAAATGTCTAGATTATAGATATGTTTATATATAGCTGAAAACTTGTTCTAACATTTACATATAAAATATTGTGCAATGATGGTTCCGAATATTTTTTATTGTGCACATACGTAAAAATTTTTTTTTTTTATGTTACATTATTAGGTCTTAAATTTAAATTTGGATTGAAATATTTTCTTGTAGATGATCGATCATACAAATTATTCATAATTTTATAATGTTTAAATGATATTATCACTACTTATTAGCATAAATTTTTAAAGAAATTTCAATATTATACTTCATTTAAAGAATCACACCATTGAATAAAATAGAATTATATTGGTAAATGGTATAGTAATGGTTTTAAAGAACTTTTAAGTTAAAAATTGATCAAAAATTTTATTTTAAAAACATTGTTGAAAACGGTTAATCGTTAGGAATTATATGTAATTTTTCTGTTAAGATAGTGTAATGCATATATAATCATTATGTTTTCATAAGATAAAGATAACAATTATGTAGAAGTACAGATTTTTTAAATCTAAGAAACATTTTCCTAGTAATGGTAAGTAATAATATTAATATTAAAAAATTCATAGGAAATTTCATTGATAATAATTGATAGTAGTTGAGGTAGGTTGATGATTACACCATATAATTCTATAATGGTCATAACTATATGTGAACCACCTAAAGATTAAAATCATATTTTGTGCGTATGCATGTTATGCAAGGAACGCGGGAATGGTGAATAATTTCTCTTTTCCGTTTGTGTTTGTCCATGTAGGAAAGGTGGATCCAACGCCGCACACCTCCTCATTCAACATGGGCTACCTTGTTTCACCGTACCCTTACCCCAACGGAGCAGGAGGGCCCATTCCAGTTTCAATGGTAAGTCTCTTTTTCTGGATACTGTTACTATATACAGAATTTTTTTATTTTACTCTTCCAAACATTTTTTTTTTTTCATTCGCCTTATTTTAATTTTTGCAGTCCAAGTCTCTTACTTCTTTTTTACTACCACTCCTAAATTCATGTGTTTTTTTGCTTGTTTCACATTTTATAAGCATTGTACATATTGACCTCACCGATAATACTTCGTTCTATAATATAACAGTCACACAAGCTCAGTTTTACTACACGAAAATATCTATCAATATCAATAACCTTTCTTTACTGTTCAACATCAAGTTATTGTCGAATCTTCGACATCTTGAGAATTTTGCAAGTTATAGCAGCTTTTTGTTCTTTGTACACCATTACAGACCATATTTCCATTTTGTATGGACTGCACAACGAGCATATTAAATTTCTCCGATGTATTCATACGTAAAATTGACAAAAAAAAATCAAACAAAAACAGGTCTCTTTTTGTCTACGTAAATAACACTATGCACAGTGGTTCTCAACGAAACAATTATTGATTATAGAGACACATAGTTACTCTGTGAATTTCGTTACGTAATTGCAACAAGTAATTATTTTTTAAGCTCGTATTCAAGGAATTTCATTGCATGAAGTAGCTCAAATGCTTACTCTGAAAAAGGACTTGTTTCACAGTAGATATGCACTGGAAAGTTAAATGTATGATTGGCATCAGGAACGATTTTTACTTGAAAAAAAACACGAAAAATCTGAAGAGTAACCCCTTTCTGATATTTTAATTTTATTGTGCCGGTGCTATTTAGAAGCCGACGCTGTTACGGTAAGTTGCGTGACAAAACTCCCTATAAAGTTTGTAATCGAGTTCAAAACATTCGATAACCAATTTCTTCAGTCGATATTGCTTCATTATCTCAACTATCCTGTGCATTTGTATAAACATACTGTTACATTGATTCTTCTTTAAGTCTATTAGAAATATAAACAAATCAAAAGTCATAAAATTAGGGTACATTTAATATTATCACGAGCTAAGTCTAAATATTATTTTATCTCGAATATTTTAACAAATAGTCTTTTGGTTATACTGTCTTTTAAAAGAAGCAATATTCAATTTTCAAAATATTCCTTTTCTTTTTTTTTTGCATTAAAGAACTTTTGTTCTTTATTTCCAGTCTAGACACAACACTAATTGTTTATTCTTTAGAACACGTATGAATGTTTCGAATATAAAATAGAATGTATACAATACGAAAGTTATTGTTTAAAATATAAATTTTAGTTTTAATATAATATTAATACTAATGTACTGAAATGTAATGCATTATAATACTGTTAATTCAATACAGAAATACATGACACTTTAGTTTTATTATTCAATATTTTTATATCAATTGCAAATCCATGCTAATATTCATTAGTTTTTTTCATTAATAATTTATATCATACAAGCACAAAATTTTAGTGGTATATTTATTTGAGTATTTCATATTAATTGTATATTAACAAATAATAATGATTAGTTTTATAGTTTGAACGTTTCATTTCAAATATATACTTCTGTGAAAATTACATAATTAAAATTAAATTTGGTTTCTCTCTCTCTCTCTCTCTCTATATATATATATATATATATATATAGATTTCTTCATCTTACCTGAATTTATTCACCTCCGGCAGTCTCTACCATATCATTATGTCGTTATTTCCAACAACAAGCTTGTCTCGAGCCTGTGCTTATGAGTTCATGCAAACTGCACGAGGCTCGTGTACTTTAGCCAGAAAACCTAAATCAGCTCTAATATTCTTACTTCTTACGTCGCCTGTATACTTTATTTTAATTCAGCACTGTTATCTTCGTACCTTTCCTTCTCAATTAATCGATTGTAAAATCGATATCAATATAAAGAAACTGATCTAGCTGTATTCTTTTTCAATCTTACCTTCGATTTTAAGATTTTTAATTTGACCACTTTGAAAATACATCGATGAAAACATATAAAATGAAAAAAATGGAATTAAATATCAAATTAGTAAAAAAATACCATGTTAATCATGTAAAGTTTGATCATAATGTCTTACAGCAAATGATGGCTTTGAATGTTGCGCGAAGACCTTAGAAGCAAAGTTGTGAGTTAACTCATATTATACAATTTTTTTTATGAAGGACTTTAATAAGAATAAAAAATAAAAGTCAAATTAATTATGATAAAAGAGCAGAATTGGGAAAAATGGACGAGACGGTATGACTATTAGTTCTCAGCCACAGGAAAGGGTTCAGAGAATTCGATTTGTCGGCAGTCCTTCCAAAAATAAAGTGCCAGAGCGTAACTTTACGAGAAAAGGGGAATGGTGCTTAGAATAAAAGAAGAAAAGGAAAGTGAGAAGTAAGCGACAAGCTCAGTTGCTCCTATCGAGACTCAAGTATATGAAATTCAAAACCCTTTTATTAAAACACATACAGCTAACTCGGACAACAGGAAAAAATGAACGTACCATCGCCAACGTGGTCTTAGTAGTTACATACTTAATTCAAAATGAGTATAATGGAGCGTGCAAGCTACGGCAACGTCTTTCCCTCGATATTTGGATTCTACAACCTAGCAGCTTTATATAATGCCGGCCACTGGTATCGTTTCTCACACGATGAACATTGCTCTATAATGTAGTAGAAAGCAAGTAATGATTGTGTAGGAGGGAGGGATGAAGGGAGAGAGAGATAGAGAGAATGAGTGAGTGAAAGAACAAGCACTGGGTCCGTGAACGGAAAAAGAAGGAATCGAACGAGGTCCATATATTTGTTCTTGGCTACGGCGGAAGGGCAGATTCGTATTGTTCTCATTGTGATCACGAGTACAACACAAGAAAGCGAATGCCTTCAAAATGCTAAGATGTCCATGGGCGCACGTTCATGCATCTCTTTCTCTCTACGTCATTTTATATGATGCTTTTATTTTTCTCCAACAGCAACAGAGCTATTTTAATCTCCCCTATTCGCTAATTGTTGCACAGGACCCTAACTGTGAGCACAGCCTCAGAGTCAGAGGCAAATAGGAGTACTCAACGCTTTTTTCTCTTGTTCTACTTATTTTTCTGTTCATTTTTCTTTTTTTTAAGCCCAACCATAATGATGCCACACCTTTCTGTCAAATTACTTTTTCAATCCTTACCAGCTTGAAACGTTTTACCTGTATTTCAACATGTAGCTGACCGAAGTCAAGCTCTTTTTAAACATTTAACTACATGTTTTGCTTGTAAAATATTAAAATAATTAAAGATTTTAATGCATTATATTTTATATTATATAAAGAACAAATGCTGTTTTATGTAAATTGTTATTTACGCGCTTCTACTCAATATAAACTATATAATTAATATAGTACTCCTAAAATGCAGCTGCTTATCTAGCATAAATAAATAACATGTACAGCTAAGATTAAATTAAAATTTTTCTTTAATAAATTAAAAAGATACAATAATGTTCCAGTAAAAAGTGATTATTTGTTCTTTTATATTAATTCGTAATTTAAAAAGTTTCTACTTAATTTAAAAATAATATATTCAAATATATTTTAGTAATTTTTCGGTAATATGTTCGGTAATAGTTACTCTGTAACAATTCAATATTAACATATTTAAAGAATCATCGCTCTTTATATATCATTATGAAAATAAACATTAAAATAACCTAATAATATACCTCGATGACGCAATAAAATATCCGAATTTTTTTTTTAAATAAATTGGAATAAATTTTTTTAACGATAAATTTTTAATTTACATTAATAAAAAATTAAAAAATGATAGCAGTATAGTATACTTTGCGCTTAAACTTAAAAATGTTTACCATTAATGTTAGCGATTTTCTTTAAACACATCTGTACAAATAATTTGAAAACCTTATATGTATTTCATTCGCGAGTGCATATATTCATCTGCTTTATAAATACACTTTTCAATAATTATTTTTATCAATGACTACTACAATGTGATAATAGTCATGAACATATATAACAATAGCATCTTTAATAATTAATTAGGATTAAAAAAACATTGTATAAAAATTTGAAGTATCCAGATGTTTCTATGACCGGCTGTGTTTTATAATTATACTACTAAAATATGCGATTTATTCTGTATACTATGCAAACATAAAACGCCTACTTCAGATTTCACATTGGGCTAGTATTTATAGATGCTTTTTTATATAAGCACATATATAACACTGCGATAACATAAAGTAATTCATTTTCAACTGCAAATCATTCTACAGCCGTCATTTTTGGAAGGAATACATTATAAGCATTTGAATATTTAATATTTTTTGTTATATTATGTATCTCAGTGTAACGCGAAGTCATTCATCTTGCATGGCAATTGCGTTTCTGTGCGGAAAGCAAAAACGCAAAACATCAAGATGGGATTCAGCTTTCGCAGTCGGGTCGTGAGGAGCATACGCTAACTGCACCAAGCAGGAGGCTCTTTTCAAGCAAAACTCCAGTGCATTGCAAAGCCAAGAAAAAGGGGCAAGGGGAAAGGGAGATAGAGAAACAGCAAGATAGAACACTAATGCACGCAGATAGATCCATGGGAAAGATAGGAATTTCCATAGGATCCTTTTCAAAGAAGGCGTTCGTATGAATTCAGGTAGATATCCTCTGTGCGAGAGAGAGAGAGAGAGAGAGACAGAGAGAGAGAGAGAGAGAGTGGAGAGAGAATTAAACAAGAATGATTCAAGGTGGAATCTTTGGTCGGTTGCCTATGTATATACTGAAATTGGTTTCTGATTGTTTCGATTACAAGGCCAGAAGTGAACTACTTAGAAAATTTCATTCAAGGGAAAGAAAAATTTGTTTATGTCTTTTGTTACTCTAAGTTAACTTTTCTGGATCTTTAGTATTTTCATGAGTTTTATTTTTTTTGTTTTTTCCATATTGTAATAAAATTAAATTTCTTGATCTATATGCTACGTATTATAAAATATGTAATTAATTAAAATGTAGGATAAATGTTTGAAATTGTAAATTTAATTTTAATTTTCATCCTGAACTGAGCTCACTATTATCATGGAATTAATTTAAAAGATATTATTTGCTTTTATAAATTTTATGGATACATGAAAGATATAACGTATTCGTATATATTTAAACGTAAAATTGTAATAAAAATTGTGCATAAAAATTAATATAAAGATAAATCCTGAATTTTTATTTTTATCCTTTTTTATATTTAAATGCGTTTATAATATTTACAACATATTAATGTTATCATTGATTTTTCTTATGTGAAAATGAATGCATATCAATAATAAATTTTTTTACAAATAATATTATTACAGTAAAAATTCATATATTTATTTTTTTTAGCATTTTTATTATGAGGTTTAAGGATTTATTAAAATTTTTAGCAGAAAAAAGAAATAAGAATGATTAAAGAATTTTCTTAAGTGTACAGAGTGTGGATATAGACATATATCCTATATATATAGGCCTATATGTACTTATATGTAATGTATATATGGTATAGAAATGTATTGAAGTTGCAGTAAATAAAAGAGAACCTTGTGGGGCGTTTTTATTCAACACCTAGAGCCCGTAGGAACGGTCTATGGATAGAGAAAAACGAAAAACGAAAGAAGAATAGAAGAATAGAAGGAAATAGAGGCAGAGAGAGAGAGAGAGAGAGAGAGAGAGAGAGAGAGAGTACTCTCTTCAGAGGCTTCGAGTGGAGATCCTGAAAATTTGGTCGACGAGCCATTCTCGGCTGGAACAAGGGAGCGAGTGAATGGGTCGGGAGGGGAGACGAAAGCAATGTGAGTCGAAGCTTCCAGGATAAATGAGGCAGAATAAACGTGAGGGAGGGCCGTGAGCATCGAAGAATGCCCAGAACTAACCATCTTTTAAGAGTAAGAGAGACGAAAGTAAACCGGCCAGGGCTTTGGCAACAGCACACTGCACCTTACTGGTTATACAGGCTTCGCTTCTTATCGTTTCGTTTCTTTCGTTCCTCTCATCTCATCTTTGTCTCTCTCTCTCTCTCTCTCTCTCTCTCTCTCTTCCTCACTCTCTTTACATTGAATTTACTTGCGTATCCGCCATCATATTCACCTTGCATGTAACTTAACTTTGGAACCTCGTTTAAACGCACCTTTACATTCATCGCGTTTTTCTGTTTGGCTTTCTTTTCTGCGCCTACATAATTACGTGACATACCGGACAAACACCGGAAGTAATTTACTATAAAGTATTAATTAATACTTAATCGCTTTTAATCGTTTGCACCACTGTTTCTTTCTTCGTTTAAGAAGTTTTAAAGTATTAAAAAAAATTATATTTGGAACACAGTTTTTCCCTTAAAAAATGCAGTTTCTTTATAATGCTACATATATATAACGTTTATGAAAATGCATTAAAATCCACACTAATAATCTTGTATTAACCAGGCGACTGTTTATAATTATTTAATTTTATTATTACATAAAACCCTATTTGAAATTACTCATATAAGTAATTTCACAAAAGAAAATAAAAAAAATTTTATTATGGAAATAAATTATATTATAATGTAATAATTATATTTTATGTACTCAATATATTTTTTGGAGATTCATTTAAGAATCTATTTAAAACTAATTATATAATAAGTATAACACAATTTAATATTAATTGTTGTTTTAAGAATCAAGATGATTAAAGTAAACCATTGATAGTAAACTACTTATACAGAAATTATTTAAATGATCTTGTTAATGTCCATTTGCAATTCCTAACTTATCCGTTCGAGAAACATTTTACCAAATATTAAATTTGATAATCGCAATAATTTTTTTGATAAATTCTAGATAAGTTGTGTTTTTAAGAATGAAGAAATAGTACATACATTATCAAATTTCAAGTCCAATAGAATCTTTAATAATAGATGCATTTGGATTGAAACGCATTTTCGTAAACATTGGGAACTAGCTTATTGTTGTACTGTTTAGCTTATGTATTTGATACGACACACATCTGTGCTACGAAGTTCAATACACGTCTCATCAAGCTCACGAACTAAAATAAGCACAATCGATGGATACAGCATTATAGTAAACAGCACGCGTTGAATGACACTTTACGACTTTTATTAACTCGATCAGCTTATGGTATTATTTACTTATTTTTACTCTACAGCAGTCGTTCATTCATAAGATAAATCTAAATGTATACGCTAATCTTCCATAATACGATCCAACAATGTATTTACACATACATTCAAACCTGTGAATATTGATGGCAACAAGAATTTACTGTTTTTACATTTCGTTTAGTTAATTAACAATGTTCAATTTATAAATACATCTTCGCTAGTAATTCATTTATTTAATTAAATTGTAGAGGAGTATATCTTTTAAACTCTCATAACGACAATATGGTTTGAAAGTGTTATTTGATTTTTTGATTTTCGTAATTATTTTCTAATCATCCATATTCGATTTTACTTATATGTCTTCAGTAATAGAGTTTTATTTTGAAACCAAGCTCCTTGAATGTTAAAGATAAAGGGCAGTTATATACATCGGATTCTATTGTATGTCTGTATATTTATGTTAAAAATGTCAACACTAAAATGTTGAAACACTATCAACATTAATGAAATTTACATTTTATAATAATAAAATATTTTTTTTAAGAGCTCGTATCTAAAAGTGTAATATTCTTTTTACACATATCGAAAAAAGAATCGATATCAATACTAATTTTTCTATCAAACATGGTATATTTTGAAGAATCTCATTAATTATATAATAAAATAAAAAACTTTTTAATTACATTAAAAGCAAAATATTGTATACTGCTTTTAGTACCAATTAGTTCCTATAGTATTACAAATAAATTTTCGAAAAAGTACAAGTGTTGGTACTTTGTTACTCCATAGAGATTTTTATTTGATATGTTTAAAATTCCTGTTTATACGTTTTTGTATTACTTATTATTGGATAAATGTTAATTGTTAAATACTCGCAAAACACTAACTTTTGATTACCATATGATAATATGATAATCACAATACGTGGAAAGGAAGAGACCAAATATTTAAAATTTTGACGATCAGATTTTTGAAAATGTAACTTATTTTTGTATGTTCGAAAAATGTATATTTAACAACTTCGAGTAACGAACTAACGAGTATATTTAACAACTTCAATAAGATGATATTCTTTGAACATATATTTTCAATTTCAACTTATGCACCGATAGCGATTTCTAGTGAGTTACTTGTTTTCCTTCCAGACCAATTTTTTGCTCGCATAAAAAACGTTAAGAATTACAATCATTTGGACTTAAAAGTCTGTAAAAGCTATTGACAGCATTGCCTTCGAGCTATTTCTGTGTATGGTTCCACAGGAAGTTTACATTACGTACTTTCGTGTTTGTTAGCAAAAAAAATAAGAAATTGAGGCAGAGATAGATGATCGGTGCTAAAAGGGAATGGGAAAATAAAAAATACAATCGATTCTCCATTTTTGGGCATTAATATAATAATCCACTATTTTATTAGAATTTTAAAATACCTACATTATATAATACTGTGGCTATTAATTGAAATTGAATATTTGCTTAAAATGTTGAAGAACAAATAATATACTCGCAGTATTATAGGTAAATCAGCATAATCAAATTTATTTTGAGTCGATATGTATGTCTAGAACAACATTGAAATAATTCATTTATTTGAATATTAAAATAAACAATAAATATACTAAAATATAAAAGTATAAAAAGAAAGAATTTCTTTGGATAAGGTCAAAGATAATAACAACTAATAAAATAAACCATGAATAAAAATAAAAGAATTCTAAAATATAAATGTTATATCTGAAATACAAGCTATGACTACTAGTAATGTCAAAAAAAAAATAAAGAAAAATCGGAAATTGACATCCGTTATACTCATCAACTGACGAGTTTACGATAAACGGAAATGACGGGCCAGTATAATCGGAGCTAAGAAAACAAGAATCTTTTTGTCTCTGTTCTCCGAGAGATCAAGAAAATTAGCAAAAAAAGATATGAAAATTTCTATAGTAATTGGTTTTTAAAAGCAAGAAAGCAATAAGTAGAGATAACATAATTTTAGTTTCATAAATTGTTCAAGCCCCGATTTATACTTGTACTGATATTTAATGACTATTTCTAAAATACTTCTGAACATTAGAAGACAATACAAACTACCAACTACTTGCTTTTTTCATCTAATATAATAAATATACTTTTTCAAATAAAGAACAACGTATTCCAAAGCACCTTTTTTTTAATGAAATAAGAAGCTAATAAGCATTAAAAATTTACATACAATTTAATTTTTTTGTAAAATCTAAATGTCTTATCCACACATTGCTGCGGTTTATATACACATATAAATTAATATAAAGATTATAATTTTCTACAAAAATTCAAATTAAATACAAATTAATATTTCATAATTGCTGCACGTTTTCAATACTTTTGTAAGTTATTCTGTATTTTATATATTGTATCAGTTATGAAAATTTGTATTGGATAAAATTTTGTAATATATAAAAGTTTGTAATTTTAAGATAACGCACTTATTCTGTGAA